ACTAACCTACGACCAGATATTGTTTTGTGGTCTGGATCAGCACGCATTGTTCAACTGAAAGAGTTAACAGTGCCATGGGAGGATGCGGTAGATGAGGCATATGAGAGGAAGAAACTGCGGTATATGCTCATCTGGCCACTGAAGCAGAACAGCGAGGATGGAGAGTCCAGGTTTACCCAGTGGAAGTGGGTTGTCAAGGTTTTGTGGCCGCCATGCTACGGTTTCGTAGAATTCTTGAAAAACTTGAGTCTGTTGGTTTATTTGTATAGGTTGTATAGTATTTACAGTCATTACGTTCAGTGGTAGGTGGTATGCCATACGGAACCGTTGTCCACTGGGACGCCAGAGTCACTGTCGAGCCCTCTTGAAGGTGCCCACTTGAAGACCCTAGAGATGTCCCCTACTCGGCTCAATCCAGACGGTTGTCGTGGTGGTCCTGTTGTTGCAGCCGTCGCGTGTGCTGACGCGCCAAGTACACTGCAGCCGTTAACGCCGGACAGAAGAGGGGTGTCACACCACCATATGGAAAGAAGTGTAAATGGATGGAGAAGCATAGTTTACTGTAAAGCTACGTCTTAGTGTTGCTTATCTTGGCGAAAGCCGAGTACAAATTAGCATGAAGTTTTAACATCTACTCTCGTGTAATGGAAATCCTATTTGTAGTGGAGATGAGTGGTACCCGGTGGGGTCTTCTGCTGTTGTAGCCCATCCGCCTCAAGGTTGTGCGTGTTGTGGCTTCACAAATGCTTTGCTGCATACCTCGGTTGTAACGAGTGGTTATTTCAGTCAAAGTTGCTCTTCTATCAGCTTGAATCAGTCGGCCCATTCTCCTCTGACCTCTAGCATCAACAAGGCATTTTCGCCCACAGGACTGCCGCATACTGGATGTTTTTCCCTTTTCACACCATTCTTTGTAAACCCTAGAAATGGTTGTGCGTGAAAATCCCAGTAACTGAGCAGATTGTGACATACTCAGACCGGCCCGTCTGGCACCAACAACCATGCCACGCTCAAAATTGGAATTATGATGTACCATAAAAACAGACTGATAAAGGCCCATGAGAAAGTTGGCTGCCAAATCAATTTACTGGATTCATTAATCTGCACAAAAAAGCTAAAATGCCTGTTTCATTTTATTATTATCCATTCCTCAAGATTTCACAGATATTGTGAAAAAAAAAAAAAAAACAGTGCAAAAAACCTTTAACAGATTTTTAAGACAACAACTGGCCATTTGGTGTAAGTATCATTAGCCGCGTTTCCATTACCCTTCAAATTGCGCAAATTGTAATTGCGAATTGAAAATACGCCCAATGGAAACACGTCAATAGTTTTTATTCATTTTTATTAAAATTTTTGTTTTTGTTATTTTAGGACAACTACCCCGGCCTTAACATGTCACAAACGTCAAATTCATATATATTTTTTATTATGCTTGTGACGTCACTTTAAGTGGCTCACAATCAGTCCACGTCGTTTACAATAAAATAATTTGAATCCAAATTATTCAATAAAATAATTAGAGAAAAAAGAACAGAAATAGAAAGAAATGAACACATAAACGCAGTGCACTGTCAGTCGGCCTAGAATACTGAAATGGGGTCTTGAAATAATTTTCCGTTGTGAATCATTAGCCCATCACTCAGCTGTTTGTTTAACACGTACAGTGGTTTAAATAGCACATGATTTGGCAATGGGATAATCTGTTCAAATCCCAGAGACTATGATCAACATCACACCACAGTTCAGCGCTGAGAGTCCAGGTCAGAACACACTGGACTATGAGCTCGTGTTTACACCGTGATTGTTGGACCCATGATAAATATGAAGATGGTAAACTAGACTACTAGAGTAATACCAGTACTTCACTGCCATATGAGCAAATACAATGGGATTATACACATAAAAACAGACCAATGCTGCAACATTACAATGATAGTACAATACAACACACAGCACTGTAAATACAGTATTGTAATACAGCATAAAACAAACATATAAAAATACAATTATAATCTACAAATATGTGTATATACTGTAAGTGTTCTTAGTATGTATACCGTTATGTATTTCAATAGAGGGCTTTGGTTTAATGATTTTTAATGAATAATTAGGGCATTCTGGGAGTTTATGGTGGGTTAATAAACAGCATGTCTTGCTCTTATCATCTGTCCTTAGCTGAACTCTGCTCCACTATCTCAATATAAAGTTCGAGATGACATGTAGACATGTACTATTATATTATTTCACTGGTGTCATCTTGTTAGTTTAAGCCTGTTTGTGAAGAGTTAAATTGTCAAGCTATTATAGCAACGTGATCTAAATTATTAGGAAGACCAAGTGGATTTATTGCATTGTACTTAAAATCAGAGTTTATAGTTGGTAATATTTTATGTTTTTAAATGAAGTCTCTTATGCATTTCTTTGATCAAAAATGGTCAGGTTTTTGCAAACAGAACCCAAACGCAGAACATCCAGGGAAACTCAATAAGATCTATGTTGAAAAATAAAAGCAATACAAAAACTGGGCAAAAGCAAAGGAAAATGACACGATGTGACACGTCAAACGTGTATGCAAATATGACTTTTAGTGATGTTTTATTGTAGTAGGCTGGTATGATTTACTTGGACTGATGGTTGTAATGGGGAATGGTTGAATTAATTAATTAATAGTTGTATTTGAGTGACTAATTACATTTTATATTGTATATTTTGTATTGTAATTCACCTGCTCGGGGACTACAGATGGAAACTAGCTTAAGCTAAATCTGGTGCAAAGCATCTTTAATTCATGTTTTTTGCACATTGTCCCTGTTGAAATAAATAAACTAAACTAAACTAAACTAAACATGAGATCCACGACTAGGCCGACCGGTGAGGACACGAGTGCTAATACAACACGAACCAGCACAGGACATATACAGAGGAGAATTCATAGGGAAGTAAATCAGGAGGGTAACAAAGGAGAGCCGGGGGGGCAAATAACCCCAAAATCAGGTCACATGAGGCTGGGGCCATGAAGAGCACATGACACACAGAAATAAGCAAACGCATGTGCAAAGGCTTACGGCAACCCGCCATGACAGAAGCCATGTTCTCACACAAACACCGAAACACAAGACATAAGAGTGAACGCACAGCCCAGAGGGAACAACCCCGAAACCACACAGTCCCACGAGGACAAGACGAACAACATGAGTGTCAGGGTCCTGTCTCAACACACTAAAAATGAACCCAGCCAAGGTAACAGGACCCTGGCCAAAATACAGTAAATACAGTAATATTGTGAAACAGCATTGCAGTTTAAAAGAGCTGTTTTCTACTGACTACACGTCATGGGGAAATCTCAGTCAAAATAAGATACACCGGTGTTTTGCCAGATGAGAAGTTGTATCATCTTTTTACTATTTTAATTAATTTTACTCTAATTCGTTTTATAACTGTATCATTTATCTCCTTTAATTCATTTTAAACTGCTTTAATTCCCCCTGCCTTTATTTTGTGTCTATTTTCTATATGCAAAGCTCTGAATTGCTATAATGTGATTATTATAATTACTAAAGCTTTTGAATTTTCCTTGCATTTTCCTTGCTTTTATTGTGTGATTATTTCCTCTCTATGTAAAACACTTTGAATTGCCACAGTGTATGAAATGTGCTATATAAATAAACTTGCCTTACTGTATTTTAAAGTGTAATTTATTCCTGTGATCAAAGCTGAATTTTCAGCATCATTACTCCAGTCTTCAGTGTCACATGATCCTTCAGAAATCACTCTAATATGATGATTTGATGCAAAAAAAAAAAAACATTTCTGATTATAATAAATGATGAAAACAGTTGTGCTGCTATTTGGGGTTATTTTATGAATAGAGAGTTCAAAAGAAAAGAAAAAAAATTTAAATACAATCTTTTGTAACATCATAAATGTCTTTATTGTCACTTTGATCAGTTTAATGTGTCCTTGCTGAATAAAAGCTAATCTTATTTAGCTTGTTTGTTGTTGTTACACTTTTTTTCCTTCATATAGCCTATTTGTTACATTTGCGGTTATCATGATGATATTTCTCATAAATGTCAGCTCAGGGCAGGTGGTCAAATTTGTATGTTTAATATGTTATAATATTAGGCCTAATATAATGATTTCTACACACAACAGCTTGATACATCTATGGTAATGTTCAACAGCTGCTCATTTGATTAAATATAGCTCTAGTGTTGTTGTTTATTTATTTATTTGACCTTTTTTAATGTAGCCAGTAATAAAATGTTACAAATAAAAATATCCTGAGAAATAAGGTATATGGGGCAGTTTCAAAAAGTAGCATAATTGTTGAACTCATGGAGTAGAGTGACTTATTCCCCTTTTTCTCTATTGAATACATAACAATTTGTGGAATCTTTTTCTGCTAAACGAAATTTTAAAACGTTTTTTATTTTTTCAACATTTAACAAAATTCGATACAAAACAAATACAAATACAGCCTACAACGTGAATACAATCGAAAACAGCGCAATAGGTGATTGAATTAACATATGAATTATCATATTAAACTGCTGGCTTCTTTCCAGCAGTTTTTGGTCAGAATGCATGAGGCAATATTACGCAACGAGCGCGCATTCCTGTCCGGCGCGCGCACGGAGACGCGTCAGCACTTTCCCAGCAGAAGCCGGTGCTCGTGCACAGCTGTGATTATTACGTTACGGTTTCAGCTTGTTTTATAACAATTCCGCGTCATCATTAGTTTTTTCAGATCGTGTCGCTGGCGGTGTTCTGAGAAGGGGGATCTTCTACATTTCTCCAATCAGAAAGTGTAAGGATATGGTCTCATTCAGCTCTGACGCCTCCCTCTCCATACAATGTGTTCATGAGTGAACGCGCATCCAGTTCGGACGTAAGGTGTAAAACTGAGGTGGGGAATCCCGTCCCAACATCATCCCTCCGGATTTCATTAGCATTATTATTCACGCTAAAGCGCATGTCTCCTCCCCTCGCCCTACAGTGGCCGGCGGGTTTATGAGTCCCGAGACACACAGACTCGGACAGGACAGCGCGCATGAGTGTTTAGAGGCGGGCTCAACACATTATTCTGCTGTCAAAGAGTTTGATTTATATCTGTATATACATTTTTCTAATTATATTGTATTTTATTTCACTGATCATGGACCAAGGTAAGACAATCACCCATGGATTTTTTCCCCCCAATGTCAATATTTTTGTCTTTTACACAAATATTGCTTGAATGAGGTGATGAAATGAAACTTACCTGATGGGGCATTTTAAACAAGATCTCATCTCTGTTTTCAGACATTTCTCAGTTTAGTCTTACAGAGTAGAGCTTTAAATTATTGCTTTGACCATGACATCATTGTTGGGATTTAATTATAATTGTATACATTTTGCAAACTGGTATTTCACTGTCAAAAAAAAAAAAAAAAAAAAGTACAAAAGTACAAAAGCTCTCTTAAAGGGGTGCTACCCCTTTAAAAGGTAGGGGAGAACCGGGGCGAAAGTAACACGGGACGAAAGTAACAAAGCGATTTTACTGTCAGAAAAAGAAAAGAAAAACGCTCTCACAGGGGTGCTACCCCTTTAAAAGGTACCAATATTAACCATTTAGGTACTGATATGTACATTTTATAGATACTAATATGCTCTATAATGTACAAAGGTGTATCTTTTGATCAGTGACAGCTTTTGTACCTTTTTTTTCAGAGAATGTAGGGTCGATGGGCAGTGATCTGTCAAAAAAGAAAAACCTGCTACCTTAAATTTTTTTAAGTACAATAAACTTGGCATTACATTACAACAACTTAAATGATATTAAACTGACTTAAAATGAGTTGAATCTCGTATAACTTAAAAAATAAAGTTTAAAATCGCTTAACTTATTTTAATGAGTTGAAGTTATGTAAAAGTTATATCATGTCATATCATTATGTCATAACTTATTGATCATGTCATTTTTTACAGTGAGAGAGCAGCCAGAGATTTGCTAAATCGAAATAAAATTAAAATACCTTTACACACTCAAAAAATGTTATCCTTTTTTAAGATTTACAAATTTTATAGTAAAATTCCATCAAATTGAATATAATAATCCTTATTCAATTGTTCAATGAAAAAATGTAAGAATTATTTGATTCAATTTGATGGAATTTCACTATTAATAGAATGTGTAAATCTTAAAAAAATTGTAAGTGCAAGTTTTAAACGTAACACTTGTTTTATACATATTTTACTCAAAATTCACTACAAATATGCATTGAAAATCTGCAGAATTACTATAGTCAATTTTTGTGAAGGTATAAGCATGAAGAGAAAATCATCCCTACCTGGTTTGCCTCCACAGAAACCGAGAGGAACACGATGATGGAGTTCTGGAAGGAACATTCGAAGTTGGCAACGGTAGAGGAGATGATGCTGGACTCGAATGCGCAGGAACTGACCCAACACGAGCTGCCCGAGATCCTCTCCATGCTCCCTTGTCTGGCTGGTTCTGATGTGCTGGAACTTGGTGCTGGAATTGGGTCAGTGTGATCACATTAGATTAGACCATTGGACCTCTGATATTTGGGTGAACCATACGAACATGCACAGATCATATGTCACCCTGAAATAAAAAGCAAAGGAATTTATCTTTTGCATAATGAAAATGAAACACATTTTCATGACAAATTCTCCACAAATTCGAATTACTGGGATCTATCCAGATGTTTTACTTAGAATACTCAGTATCCTCAATGCAATGAATACCTTATACAATATATCCAAGATATATCACATGATCCTTCAGAAATCATTATAATATCTGATTTGCTGCTCAGGAAACATTTCTTGATTTTTCCAATAAAGTTGAAAGCAAGTTGTGCTGCTTAATATTTTTGTAGAAAAAATATTCCCAATGCATTGGTTATTCTAATGAGATTCAACAAAAAGTACAGTACAACAATGATGTGTTAACTTATTAACTATTATACTTACTATTTACAAGATATCAAAGATGTATTTACAAACAATATATAATTTTTATCATAATTTTTCACACAATAGTACGGAGTCCCCCTAGTCCCACTTTGTCAAAAAAAATTATTATAACTATCTCGTGGCCTCAAGATAAGTAACTCGTGGCCTCAAGATAGTATCTCGTGGCCTCAAGATAGTAACTCGTGGCCTCAAGATACTATCTTGAGGCCACGAGTTACTATCTTGAGGCCACGAGATACTATCTTGAGGCCACGAGTTACTATCTTGAGGCCACGAGATACTATCTTGAGGCCACGAGTTACTTATCTTGAGGCCACGAGATAGTTATAATAACATTTTTTGTCAAAGTGGGACTAGGGGGGCTCCGTACTATTGCAGGAATGAGGGAAATTAAAAAAATTCACAATATAACGTTCCTAAAAAAATAATTAATTTTATTTTAATATTGAGATGTATGACATGTTCTTTTGACAGGTTTAATAATATATTTATTTTTAAACCAAATTAGGCTCTTAAATTTCCATCTTGTTCTGCATCTGATTTATTTATTATTTGAGGTCATCATATGTGTGGAATTATTTACATTTATATTTATTTATTTAATTTTCAAATGAGGAAATTGAAAAGCACTTTGTCACAGAGCCAATTGTATATACAAGCATACACTGTAATAGAAATTGTGTAAAACTATTTTCACTCACAAATTACTAGTAAATTTCACAAACAAACTAACAGCAAGTAACACATTGAAATAAACGTGAAATTTTGAGGTAGAAAAACTGAAAATGTGCTTGTAAAATATATTCGAAAAATAATTTTTACAGTGTACAATTATATGCGGCAATAAAATTTTATGTGCCAGGGAATATACTGAGATACTCCTAGTCAAATGAGAATGATGGAAATCTGATGAAAATCGAATGAAATTTAAATTGTGAGGTCAAATCTTGTGGTGATCTGTTTCTTGGCCAGTACTGAGCTTTTAAGCACGCTTTATTTGCTCCATTGTTACCATGACCTTTGCTCTTTTTAGCCGGTACACACGTCACCTCATTGGCAAGGCCCGTCACGTGATCGCTGTGGACTTCATGGAGAAGTTTGTGGAAAAGAACAGGGAGGAAAACAGTCACCTGGGCAACGCTGAGTTCATCCAAGCTGACGTCACAAAGCTGGACTTCCCTAAACACAGGTGAGAGAAAAACACTTCAGCAAAACATGAATATATTCAGCCTTCTAAACACTGCTAGAGAGAGAGAGAGAGAGAGAGAGAGAGAGAGAGAGAGAGAGAGAGAGAGAGAGAGAGAGAGAGAACTATATTTTTGTATATGTGTGTGTTACTGTGTATATATTTCTATATTCATTTCGTTAACAAAAACTATGACAAAAAAAACTTTTTTCCATTAGACGAGACAATGACGAGACAACACCGACGTCATTAAACACTAACCATGATTATCAACTTGCAATATTGTTGACGGGGAATTTTTTTTTTTTTTAAGTTTAAACTTTACCAAAATCTCTCTATATTTTATGAAAGAGAATTTTTTAAACCTTTAAAAGAGAAAGAGAAAAAAGTATTACAGACTGCGCACTGTAAGCGGTCAACCAATCACATCAGACTGGGGCATCTGACCAATCAGATCAGAGTATACCAATCACAACAGACTGGGCCATTTGACCAATCAGATCAGAGTAGACCAATCACATCAGACTGGGCCATTTGACCAATCAGATCAGAGTAGACCAATCACAACAGACTGGGCCATTTGACCAATCAGATCAGAGTAGACCAATCACATCAGACTGGGGCATCTGACCAATCAGATCAGAGTAGACTAATCACAACAGACTGGGCCATTTGACCAATCAGATCAGAGTAGACCAATCACAACAGACTGGGCCATTTGACCAATTAGATCAGAGTAGACCAATCACAACAGACTGGGCCATTTGACCAATCAGATCAGAGTAGACCAATCACAACAGACTGAGCCATCTGACCAATCAGATCAGAGTAGACCAATTACAACAGACTGGGCCATTTGACCAATCAGATCAGAGTAGACCAATCACATCAGACTGGGCCATTTGACCAATCAGATCAGAGTAGACCAATCACATCAGACTGGGCCATTTGACCACTCAGATCAGAGTAGACCAATCACAACAGACTGAGCGATCTGACCAATCAGATCAGAGTAGACCAATCACAACAGACTGGGCCATTTGACCAATCAGATCAGAGTAGACCTATCACATCAGACTGGGGCATCTGACCAATCAGATCAGAGTAGACCAATCACAACAGACTGGGCCATTTGACCAATCAGATCAGAGTAGACCAATCACAACAGACTGGGCCATTTGACCAATCAGATCAGAGTAGACCAATCACAACAGACTGGGCCATTTGACCAATCAGATCAGAGTAGACCAATCACAACAGACTGAGCCATCTGACCAATCAGATCAGAGTAGACCAATCACATCAGACTGAGCAATCTGACCAATCAGATCAGAGTAGACCAATCACAACAGACTGGGCCATTTGACCAATCAGATCAGAGTAGACCAATCACATCAGACTGGGCCATTTGACCAATCAGATCAGAGTAGACCAATCACATCAGACTGGGCCATTTGACCAATCAGATCAGAGTATACCAATCACAACAGACTGGGCCATTTGACCAATCAGATCAGAGTAGACCAATCACATCAGACTGGGCCATTTGACCAATCAGATCAGAGTAGACCAATCACATCAAACTGGACCATTTGACCAATCAGATCAGAGTAGACCAATCACAACAGACTGGGCCATTTGACCAATCAGATCAGAGTATACCAATCACATCAGACTGGGCCATTTGACCAATCAGATCAGAGTAGACCAATCACATCAGACTGGGCCATTTGACCAATCAGATCAGAGTACACCAATCACATCATACTGGGCCATCTAAACAATCAGATCAGAGTAGACCAATCACATCAGACTGGGCCATTTGACCAATCAGATCAGAGTAGACCAATCACATCAAACTGGACCATTTGACCAATCAGATCAGAGTAGACCAATCACATCAGACTGGGCCATCTGACCAATCAGAGCAGAGTAGACCAATCACATCAAACTGGACCATTTGACCAATCAGATCAGAGTAGACCAATCACAGCAGACTGGGCCATCTGACCAATCAGATCAGAGTAGACCAATCACATCAGACTGGGCCATCTGACCAATCAGATCAGAGTAGACCAATCACATCAGACTGGGGCATCTGACCAATCAGATCAGAGTAGACCAATCACAACAGACTGGGCCATTTGACCAATCAGATCAGAGTAGACCAATCACAACAGACTGGGCCATTTGACCAATCAGATCAGAGTAGACCAATCACAACAGACTGGGCCATTTGACCAATCAGATCAGAGTAGACCAATCACAACAGACTGAGCCATCTGACCAATCAGATCAGAGTAGACCAATCACATCAGACTGAGCAATCTGACCAATCAGATCAGAGTAGACCAATCACAACAGACTGGGCCATTTGACCAATCAGATCAGAGTAGACCAATCACATCAGACTGGGCCATTTGACCAATCAGATCAGAGTAGACCAATCACATCAGACTGGGCCATTTGACCAATCAGATCAGAGTATACCAATCACAACAGACTGGGCCATTTGACCAATCAGATCAGAGTAGACCAATCACATCAGACTGGGCCATTTGACCAATCAGATCAGAGTAGACCAATCACATCAAACTGGACCATTTGACCAATCAGATCAGAGTAGACCAATCACAACAGACTGGGCCATTTGACCAATCAGATCAGAGTATACCAATCACATCAGACTGGGCCATTTGACCAATCAGATCAGAGTAGACCAATCACATCAGACTGGGCCATTTGACCAATCAGATCAGAGTACACCAATCACATCATACTGGGCCATCTAAACAATCAGATCAGAGTAGACCAATCACATCAGACTGGGCCATTTGACCAATCAGATCAGAGTAGACCAATCACATCAAACTGGACCATTTGACCAATCAGATCAGAGTAGACCAATCACATCAGACTGGGCCATCTGACCAATCAGAGCAGAGTAGACCAATCACATCAAACTGGACCATTTGACCAATCAGATCAGAGTAGACCAATCACAGCAGACTGGGCCATCTGACCAATCAGATCAGAGTAGACCAATCACATCAGACTGGGCCATCTGACCAATCAGATCAGAGTAGACCAATAACATCAGACTGGGCCATCTGACCAATCAGATCAGAGTAGACCAATCACATCAAACTGGACCACTTGACCAATCAGATCAGAGTAGACCAATCACAGCAGACTGGGCCATTTGACCAATCAGATCAGAGTATCCCAATCACATCAGACTGGGCCATCTGACCAATCAGATCAGAGTAGACCAATCACAGCAGACTGGGCCATTTGACCAATCAGATCAGAGTATCCCAATCACATCAGACTGGGCCATCTGACCAATCAGATCAGAGTAGACCAATCACAGCAGACTGGGCAATCTGACCAATCAGATCAGAGTAGACCAATCACATCAGACTGGGCCATCTGACCAATCAGATCAGAGTAGACCAATAACATCAGACTGGGCCATCTGACCAATCAGATCAGAGTAGACCAATCACATCAAACTGGACCATTTGACCAATCAGATCAGAGTAGACCAATCACAGCAGACTGGGCCATTTGACCAATCAGATCAGAGTAGACCAATCACAGCAGACTGGGCCATCTGACCAATCAGATCAGAGTAGACCAATAACATCAGACTGGGCCATCTGACCAATCAGATCAGAGTAGACCAATCACATCAGACTGGGCCATTTGACCAATCAGATCAGAGTAGACCAATCACATCAGACTGGGCCATCTGACCAATCAGATCAGAGTAGACCAATCACATCAGACTGGGCCATTTGACCAATCAGATCAGAGTAGACCAATCACATCAGACTGGGCCATCTGACCAATCAGATCAGAGTAGACCAATCACATCAAACTGGACCATCTGACCAATCAGATCAGAGTAGACCAATCACAGCAGACTGGGCCATCTGACCAATCAGATCAGAGTAGACCAATCACATCAGACTGGGCCATTTGACCAATCAGATCAGAGTAGACCAATCACAGCAGACTGGGCCATCTGACCAATCAGATCAAAGTAGACCAATCACATCAGACTGGGCCATCTGACCAATCAGATCAGAGTAGACCAATCACATCAGACTGAGCCATCTGACCAATCAGATCAGAGTAGACCAATCACATCAGACTGGGCCATTTGACCAATCAGATCAGAGTAGACCAATCACAGCAGACTGGGCCATCTGACCAATCAGATCAGAGTAGACCAATCACATCAGACTGGGCCATCTGACCAATCAGATCAGAGTAGACCAATAACATCAGACTGGGCCATCTGACCAATCAGATCAGAGTAGACCAATCACATCAAACTGGACCATTTGACCAATCAGATCAGAGTAGACCAATCACAGCAGACTGGGCCATTTGACCAATCAGATCAGAGTAGACCAATCACAGCAGACTGGGCCATCTGACCAATCAGATCAGAGTAGACCAATAACATCAGACTGGGCCATCTGACCAATCAGATCAGAGTAGACCAATCACATCAGACTGGGCCATTTGACCAATCAGATCAGAGTAGACCAATCACATCAGACTGGGCCATCTGACCAATCAGATCAGAGTAGACCAATCACATCAGACTGGGCCATTTGACCAATCAGATCAGAGTAGACCAATCACATCAGACTGGGCCATCTGACCAATCAGATCAGAGTAGACCAATCACATCAAACTGGACCATCTGACCAATCAGATCAGAGTAGACCAATCACAGCAGACTGGGCCATCTGACCAATCAGATCAGAGTAGACCAATCACATCAGACTGGGCCATTTGACCAATCAGATCAGAGTAGACCAATCACAGCAGACTGGGCCATCTGACCAATCAGATCAAAGTAGACCAATCACATCAGACTGGGCCATCTGACCAATCAGATCAGAGTAGACCAATCACATCAGACTGAGCCATCTGACCAATCAGATCAGAGTAGACCAATCACATCAGACTGGGCCATTTGACCA